TATTATTAGGTTACTATGTCAAATGTGAATACCATGACCACATATAATTTTCTGATATTTGAAAAAAAAAAAAAAAAAAAAAAAAAAAAAAAAAAATGAAAAAACGTTAACTTCGGCTGCACGGAAGCTAATATACCCTTCGCAGGTGTATTTCTTTAAATAACTATGTGTTCAGTTTGTATGGAAGCTATATGCTATAGTAATCCGATCTGAATAATTTTTTCGGAGATTGTAGTATTACCTTAAGCAGTTATCCATGTCAACTTTCATGAAGATACCACGTCAAATGCGAAAGTTTTCCATACAAACCCTTGATTCCGATCGTTCGGTTTGAATAGCATCAATTTGGACAATTTCTTCGGAGATTACACTGTGGCCTTAAAAAATATCCTGTGCCAACTTTTGTGAAGATACATTGTGAAATGTGAAAGTTTTCCATACAAGAACTTGATTCCGAACGTTCAGTTTGTATGACAGCTATATGTTATAGTGGTCCGATATCGGCCGTTCCAACAAATGAGCAGCTTCTTGCAGAGAAAATGACATTTACAAAATTTCAAAACGATGTCTTAAAAACTGAGCGACTAGTTCGCATATATACAGACGGACGGGTAGACGGACATGGCTAAATCGACTCAACTCAACATACTGATCATTTATATATATACTTTATATGGTCTCCAAAGCTTCCTTCTTTGTATTACAAACTTCGTAGCAAACCTAATATACCCTATTCTGGGTATAAAAACCAAAAGTCCAGTTGGAGCGAAGCTCAGATCCGATAGTCCGATCTGAAAATTTTTTCCCGAGATAGCGCCGTTGTCTGTTGCAATAATCTATGTCAAATTTCGTAAAGATATCTCGTCGAACAACTTTTTCCATACTTCTGACTCTATGGCGCAAAAAGTGAGTTTAAGTTTTATATCCATATTAGTGTTTAAATTACAATTTCTTTCAGATATTGTGATAACTACATAATTTTATAGATCACATTTTCAACGAAAATGATTCACCTTGTCAATACAAAAAAAAAAAATAATATTAATTATATAGTAAATATTTACTCGGCCTCTTTTATGATTATGCATAATTAAAACTTAATTTCCACAACGTCAATTTCCCAAAACTGTTTACCATAAAAATAAATGCAAATCAATTTTCCATTTTTTTTTGGAAATTAAATAGTAAATAAAAGTAGAGTAAATATGCTTAAATTACATTAACAGCGCAATTGATGTGTAATTTCACATCAATTTAATAAATCAAACAGTTAGTTGAGTTGTTGTTGTAATAATTGACGAACTCACTAAGCCCACCTTCGGGCCACATCAATAATTTATGGCATATGAACGTGTGAAATTAATTTTGCAAATTAAGTGCGTTTGCACAGCATAAATTGCATAATCGTTTATGCATATACTGTACATAAATATTTTCCTTTTTTTTTGCCATTTTGCCATTTTGTCATATTTCTTTTAATGTTGCACTTTGAATTGATAAATATTAATGTACTGTTTGCCATAATAGCATGAAGATTTGTAGTAAAATTTCTGTCAATCCGAAATTGAATATTTCAAACACTTATATGGAGAACACTTGTCTCCCTTCTGTTCGAACTAGAAAATTTTAGTTGGAAATCTTAAAAAATCAAAGATATCCAAAGATATTGTTCGAATCAGATCACTACAGCATATAACTCCATACAAACTGGACGATTGGAATAAAGTTTTTGTATTTGTGAATTGTATTACATCTTCGGGTGCAAGCGAGGTTAAATTTTTCTCTTGTGTTAGGTAATTTTTAGGAATGTTCTTCAGAACCTCGGTTATAGCAGCTTGAATAGCTGTAATATCATCATAAAATGCTCTTTTCGTGTTGGCTTTCAGTTTTGAATATAGAAAATTGTCACATCTTGATAAATCAGGTGAATACGGAGGGGGTTGTTGAGTGAATTTCAGTTTGGTCTCTTTTTATTATCTAAATCTTCACTTCAAATTCACCAAATTTTGTTTTTATTTGTATTTAATTTCTCAGCTAGCATTCTAGTAGTAAAGTGTAAGTGAAACAGTTGATTTTTCGACTATTCCCACCGATTCAGCACAATTTCTGAATGACCGATAGAGTAGACCGATAGGCACAACAAACGACGCCATATTTTTCCCGTTCTTTTGACGTTTCTTTTCGGTACGACATCCAAAAACGAGTCAAATTTTTTTTTTAAATTTACTACATAAATTCGGAGTCAGTTGCCTTAACTTTAAGAGCGCTACGTGCAATTTCTGTTCGTCATATTCGTACTGTCAGATCAATAACTGAGCGTCTAGTTGAAAAGTTACACAGTTACAGAAGAAAATTTTCCCGTGCCAATGAGACAAAGAAGTGACTGTAGTGTCGAGAATATTGTGGCCGCTAGCGAATCAATTGAGGAAGATCCAAGTCAGTCTCTTACAGCCCATTCTCAAACCTTGGGCATCTCAATGACGTCGTTGTGGCGAATTTTGAGAGGAGTCTTGGCCTACATCTCTACAAGATCAAATTGATGTAAGAACTGAAGTCACTTGACCACCAGCACTGTCGTATATTCGGGAATTGGGCTGAGCAATAACCTGTAAATGATCCGGATCTTCATCGAAAATCATCTTCATTTCTGGTTGAATGGCTTTTTCAGTAAGCGAAATATGTATTACAGATCAAACAACACGTACTTCACGAGTTACCATTGTATTCCCCAAAAAATAATTAGTGCGGATCTTGCCTGGTATCAAGACCGGCCCGTTATTGTGATTGGGAATCGCTACCGCTCAATCATAACAGAATATTTTTGGCCTGAGTTGGATGATATAGACGATGGTGCCATAAACTACATAGCGAATGTTATAATCGATTTATTGAAAACCAAGTTTGGTGAACGTGTTATTTCAGGAAATGGCCCTCTCGTCGTACGATTTGAGACTATTTCCTGTGTGGCTACGTCAAGTCTATAGTCTATGCCAACAAGCCAGCGATAATTGATGAACTTTGTTTGAATATCGAACGTGAAATTGCAGCAGTATCGGCCGATTTATGCTTGAAAACCGTCGAATTGAGTTTAGCATCTGAACTTCTTCAAGCGTGCCCGTGGAGGCCATCCAAAAGATATATTTAGAGTTCCATATATAATGGCATCCAATGTGTTTTTACAGGAATAAAGCATTTTTATGATATCCTAAAATGTTATAACCCGTTATATTCAGTTCTAACATTTTTCTTTTTATTATACATCCGGAAAACTTTCTTTCCTTAAGGTTACATTGACTATACATATGACGCTGGTAACAGTGTTTAACTTTAAGACCCTCCATTTAATTTTTTCTAAAGCTTTTTTTTTTTTGATAAATTACTCCACGTAATTAATATTTTAACCAAATATGTAAGTCGTCATTACATTTGAAAATTAAAAGCTAAAACGCAAAAGCGCGGCTCGTCTACAAACGGTAATAATTAGTGGTGAAGTAGTTAATTATATAAATACATACATTGAAAGCAGTTAAGCGACGAGAGACTAACATATTGTGTGGCATTAAAATAAAGCGTTTCTAAAAGCGGAAGGTAGTTATTAGTTAAAAGCTTTCAATGTTTTGTGAGAATAATTGTGAAAACGTTTAAGTATTTCTTTTAGCAAAGTACTATGTTTGAGTTACAAAATATCAATAAATTTCAAAAATTGTTAATTTACAAAAATTGTAGCAATATTTAATAATTAGTTATAATTTGTATGGAGCAAGTATTTTGTGATGAGTGCTAATGCCATATTGTGTTATAAAACGATTTTTGTCAAACGGTATATGTATATACCGCTATTTACGGTATGTATTTAAAATAATTATATATAACTAAGTGTTATTATTTATATATTTTGTTAGGTTTCTGTAAAAAATTATCTGCTTATTGCAAAAATTATGACCCTTTATATATTTATATTTTTCAAACGCTTAACAATTTGTAATTATATAAATTACTTTAAATGAATAGGTGTATACTGAAATGGTATATAGTATTTTTAAGCGATTTATACAGCAAAAATAGCAATGTTTAGCAACAATGATGATATCACTTTAGACAAATTTTATGACAAACAGTTGTAAGTAATTACACAGTTAACTGTAACAAGTTTTCAACACGACAAATTATCAGTTCACAGCACACAATTCGCCTATTTGATATTAATTAGGTTTTTTTGTAAAAAATTTTGAAATATTTATACTATAATTTGCCAATGGGCTTTTGCAGTTACATAATACTTATAAGTACGAACAGTTTATTGTAAAAGTTAATGCAAGAAGTAGTAATACTAGTATTATATATATTGAAAAAGATTAAGTTTTGGTTTTTACATACCGAGAAATTTGTTTAGAAATTTAAGTGCTTCCGTTTTAATGCTATTATCTGCGTGAATAATGAATAAAGGGATATGAGGAATAATTTTCTTTTTGTTGCTTAAATTCAATCAAATGTTTGTATTAATGATTTATATATTTACTATATGTATGAGGCATTTAACTATGATTAATCGTTGGGCGATAATATTTCGATGATAATATCTATTACTTATGACGACTGTAAAAAACTGCAATCAGAATATTGAATTGGTATTTTTATGCATATTACTTATGGCAATCGATTCGTTATAGAGCAGAGCGAGTTGGACTCTTGTGGAAAAATTGGTAGGTATAATCAGAGAATTTATAAGAATTGTTTGATGTTCGCTGGTGTAAAGAAATAATAAAATGCTTGTTTTGAATTCAATACGAGAAATACATTTCATTATTCGATTCGCCACTTTATATAATATAATATTATACCTCAATATTTCCGAGTTTATTCACAATATTGATAATACAAGTATGTATACGAATGTCGGAAGCTTTTTGGAATGATTTTCTAAAAACTGAAGCTTCTTTATAACGCATAGAATCTTCTTCAATCTTAAAAAACATACATCTGCATTATCTCACTATATTCGAATTTCAAATAAACTGTCAATTTTTTAGAGGAAGAAAGCTCTGGGAATAATTTTATGTTTAGACTACTTAATATTCTAAATTTATATAATAATAAGGAGTTCTATTCTCCCAAGTCAGAAAACACGCGTTTTTAGGTAAATTTTTTTTTGAAGAGGTATTCTATTTGACAAAAAAAAAAATAAAAATTACAGAATTCAAAGTCCTTTAATAGTCGGTCATTTACCCGAGCTCTTGGAAGGCCTTCAACATATCAGGTGGTGAGAAAAACTTTTCTATTTGAAATTAGCTCAAATTCAAAAACCAACAAACATTATTAAAATAATAGTGGAGTCCTATGTAGGTGTAATCAAACAACTAGTAAATCTTTTGAATTTTTTGCAAAATTCGGCTTCTCAAAAAGTCGTTATTTCTGGAAAAATTTGCAATTCACAGTGGTTAAAAAAATGATGAAAAACCAATAATTACTTTAAACATATATCTGAGAAGATTATAATTATTTCAAGTATATCGGTCTAGCCGATCCTAACATAATTGCATCCTAACAAACTTCTTAGTTCCACGAGAAAAAGTGAAAGAAAATAATATTTATGTTAAACATCTTAATCTTTTATTTCTATCCTGGGTCATTTCGACCTTTGCTTTTGAAAACAAGGTAAAATAATGAGGTCGTGAAGTCGGTACACTGTTACAAAAGTATTTTTGAAACATTTTTAATGAACGTCTTGTCTTCTCAGACTAAATAATAAAAATGCCTATAAAAACAATTGTTACTAAATTTTCTGATTTTTTAAGTAATGGTTACTTAAGAATACTTTGCTCCCCTTTCTAACTTATACCAATTTATACATTCCCGGAAAGTCTCGAGTGGAGTACCCCAAGGCTCAGTATTAGGCCCTCTATTATTAGGGCTTCATGTATGAAGTGGTGCTAAGAAGACAGCAACCAATAGACCCGAAACTAATAGCATATGCTAACGATCTCATGGTAGTAGCAGTGGCTAAACAATTAGTCGACCTAAGAAATATATGCAATGAGTGCTTAAATGCTCTACGCCAATCGAGAACCATCAATCAATCTGTGGTTCTAGAACTGGTTGAGTACAAAACAGAAGTTTGTCTATGAGCACCAGAAAGGAGGGAAAATTAATAAAGCTCTATCGAGAATGATGGCCAATAGAGGCTGCATGCGTTCCAGGAAGGTGAACTCGATCGATTTAATCAGCTATCAGCACCTAAAACAATATCCTCAAAGACATAAGAAAGGTACAAGAGCACCAAAATATGGCATCTGCGGTGTGATTTCTCATACAAAGGGCGTTGGACTCACTCGTTGGACTTATATCGGACAATCACTCGTGGATAGGCAGACAACATGGATACCCGAATTTCCATCTGACCCCAAATACTAAGTGGATATGGGCGCTCTGAAAGCTACCTTTACGGATGCCATAATGGCATTAATCCGCACTGTCCGTCATGTTCAGAGTATACAGAAGACTCTAAACATGTATTATTTTATTGCCCTCGCTTTTAAAATAAAAAGGAAAAACTAAAAACCACACTCGGTAATAGTTTTACGGTCGATAACTTAACGAGACTTATGTGTTAGTCGACTGAGAAATTTAAGCGTCAGCATTCATAATGACAAAACTGAGAGTTTTTCATGAGATTAGGCGTCCGTCAGTCAACTCCATAGAGAGACTTCATGTCTGTCTCTTCCACGAAGTAATACTTAACTGGTGGTTCCGTGGGAGAGTCTTGAGTTGGGGATAAGCGAGACTTAGCGGATTCAAGTTCCGCACTTCAGCTTTCGATGCTTTCGACTACTATAAAAAAACATATTCTAGAATAATGAGCATAGAATAAATATTAAATATTTTTTAACTTTAATCTGAAATATTTTTAAATAATTTTTACCTGATTGCAGTCGTTTACAGTCTGGATAATTATGGACTTATGAGACTTAAAGATGATATGGAAATATTTTCAGTATATATTTAGAGGACAATAGGAAAGAAGGATTTTTGGAATATAAAACAAAATTTAAGATACAAAAAGTATCAAGGAAAACAAAAGAAATAATCGCCAAAAAATAAAAGAACTCTGAAGAATATAGAAATAAATGTGAGGTATAGATATTAGACATAAAAAGATAACACAGCATTCGTATAAAATAAATTCCTTGAATTAAAAGAAAACTTATAGAAATGTTTTAAAAATGGTCTAGAAATAAAATATATTTTTGTTGAAAGAATTGAAATGAGTTATGAAACAAATTATATTTTTTTGTGTCAATTGCAGCTTCTATTGATTTGAAACTAAAAATATGTCACGGAATTGATGAGAAGGCTACACCGAAAGGTTTCGAGACTTTTTTAACACCTTATTATTTTGTTTTTGTTGTAATGATACGCCATACGAGTTATTTTTATTGGTTACATGCCCAGCCGTGTAAAATCTACAGCGATGCAGACTAAAAAACAAGAGGATTTTTCATGTTTGTGTGTGTTATTGTGGGGATGACATTCGAGCACTTTTTGCATACTACAAATCGAACAGGGTGCGCTAATTCTCTAACAAATGACATATTATATGCATTACATGCTGCTTGTTTGGGGATATTCTACCAGTGATGCTGCATTCTATGTGGCAAGGTGCATTCCTCATGCCACGAAGGCAATAAAACGCAAATAGACTACGCAGGGTTGCCCTAACTAGGGGATCTAAGGAAGCAGCGCGCCTTTAACTGCAAACACAAACAATCACATTGCTTTTTTCAACTTCAAAAATATGTTATTTTACGACTACTTGTTAAAATGCATTCAGCCGGTTGACTAACAGTAAGAGTCTAAATTGTGGAAATAAAACTAAAGTGAGGCTTGTGCGGCATGACGACATACATATGAATATATGCGCAAATTAAAATATTATATAATGGTAAAAAAATATTTATACAACTACACGACTGAAATAAGAGTGCGGTGAAATCGAAGGAATTACACTTTACGCACAAAATATACTATCAAAAAAATTAAGTGTTGAAAAGCGCTAAAAAACACACAGCTTTCCAACCAAAAAACAAATCTAAAAAGAAAAAACAAAGAGAGAATGAAACCAAAAAGCAAAAATTCGCGCTTTAATTGAGTGGAGTTTGCGCTCTTTTTTTGCTGGCAAGCACCACCGACCGTTGCAACGGCTTGCATTTTATTTCATGTGCCATTTTGGTATGGCGTGGCGTATACGCAGCGCAAAGCATAGGAACATGGCACGCATATGGCGGCAGCGGCTTTGTGATTATATTGCGCGCGTTTCTCTCTTTATTTGGCTTGGTATTTTTCATTCATTTGAATTTGCATTTATTGCGTTCTTCATGCTTTTCTGCGGCAAGTTAAATGCGCAAGCGTCAAAGGCTTTGCTTTGTTTAAAAAAAATATATACATTTTTACATAATTAACATTATTTGGCTTCAATTAAAGAAATTAATCGTTTAACTATGTGCTTGCAGAGCATTTGCATTATATTTTTATATTCTTCATTTCATGGCACATTAACTATTTTGAACTCTATGGCGCTACCAAATAGCTACAAAAAAGAAACTATAATGTTGTTGTAGACTTTACTGAAATTCATCGTGGGAACTGCATTGTCTATTTGTGTGAGTGTGTTTGTATATTTGTATTCGCAGTGTATGTGTGTAGGCGAAGGTATATCGTTAAGAATACAATTTAAAGTAGAGAAAAAAAAGAATAAAAAACATGAAAACGATGAAAGAAAAGAAGAAGAAGATTTAGATTTCATGGTTGAGTAGAATTTTGCTACAATACTATATGTTAGTTTGTATAGTATATTCATAAGCCAATGGAAAAAATATTTTATGCGAATTTTCATAAAAGCTGCTTTCTTTTCATTTCATTTTTGTTTTTTGTTTTTTGGTTTTCTGCATTTTTCGGAAAAAATCTTTTACTCAATATGAAAGCAAAAAATAATCAAGGATTCGTCTGGGGATTTATGTACATACATATATATATATACAATCATATGTGGGAACGCGAACGTGAAAACCATAAATATATGCATAAATTCGTACATATATCTATATGCACGCCATTAACTTGACGTTTGTCACCGTGTGAGCGGGTTGGACGTAACGGAATTTCATTTTAAAAGGTGAAAGTCATTGGAACACTGACTACTTGGGGATTGATTGGTCGCACTACAGCGGGACAAAACAGCGGCAGCAGCAACAGCAGTAGCGGTAGTAGCGGGACGAGGGCGGAAATACGTACGTGGGATGGATCTTGGCTGGGGAGTTGTGTGGGTTCACGCTCTTATTTTGGGTTGATTGCTTGACGACTGCTCGCATTTGTATTTAGTTACTCAAAGGAGCAGTTATTTACATGTTTATTTATGTTTGTATATTATACATATATCCATACATATGTATATACATATATGTATATATACATGTATATATATATAATATATATTAAATGAGTACATATTATATACGCTAGTTTCGCAAGTAGCCAGGCTAGCGCGCACAATGCTTGCAATTGCATACATACACACGAACTATACTGGTATGCACGTATGTATGTATGTATAAGTATATATGTAGTATGTATGAAGTATATAAGCATATAGAAAACATATATGTACCTGGCGCAATGATGGGTTCGCCGATGTTGACGTAGAATAGCACATCCTTTTCATAGCTGCCTTCCTCAATGATTCCCAGCGGTATGAATTTTCTGCAAATTGAATGAGAAAAGGAAAAAATGTATTCATGAGTAAAAAGCAACAACGCGCAATTCTTGTCTGATGAGTTGTGTTGAAAACCCAAATCACCGGCAGTTTTTTGTTTTTTTTTTTTTTTTGTGTGATATGTGAATCAGAGTTAATTTTTTTAAATTTTGGATTACGTCTATAATGTGCTGGTTTCCAGCGTTGTTGTTGGCGTAAATTGCTTTTTATAAACTTATAAATAAGGTTGAATGATGAAATTGCTAAAAAAGCAATTTAAAAAGCGGAAATTGATTATATTATGCGTGGTTGTGTTCGAAATATGTAGTGAATGCTGTTAAAATTGAGGATTTGAAGGCTAAGCTCTTCACGAAGCATTTACTATTTTAAAAATCAGCAAGAAGAATCTCATAAAGTTTGAATGAAGAAATAAAACGCTTTGGTTTCCCAAGTATATATAGCCATGTGTAAAATGATTTGGTTATATATATACTTTAAAAGGAGTTAAAAATTGTTTTTGCTTGTTAATTGAGTCAAAAGCTCTAGGTTGCGTTAAGGGTTTACGGGTTTGTAAAATCTATTTTTTATTGTCACATTAAATTCTACAATACCTCTAGAATATTGTCCTAAATTTTCAAATTGAGTCAAGTAATAGTTTCGGAGATACAGCCTTAAGAACTTGTGCCCTAGAGACTGCGCACATAGCCTTTAGAAAAGTTTTCTCTCGAAACTGAGTTTTTGAAGCCGGTTTCAAAGATTTCCCCAGAACTATTGAATTGATCTTCATGAAATTTTACAAACAACTTTGAGATACAATTCTTAAAAACTTGGACGAAGAATATTTTTTTTTTTGATTATAACTATTTGGAGAAAAATGTCGCGAATTTTTCACCGAAATTTTTATTTTTTTGTGAAAATGTCTGCGAAGATCCAATTTTCAGTTTTTTTCCTTCGTTTAAGTTCTAAGTTAAATTTTTGACTAAAACACGTATTTCTTAATCCTGTAAGGCGTTATCCTGCCAACGCGGGCGCATCTTTTTTCCGAATTTCTTTAATAACTGCATATATGTATGTATTTGTAACAATCAAAAATAATTCATTGTTTATATGAAAAAAAAAAATGTTGAAAAAATGCTGTTTTTTGCCCGACAAAACGCATGAACCTTTTAAGTCGTAGGTTTGATCCAAATTCTTTTAATCTCACTTGGGTTTTCGTTGTTTGTGTTTCCTGTAAACTCCTAAAGTTGGATCGCTAGATTACTATAGATAGATGAATCATTTTAAGCGTATTCCAAATTTGTTAAGGTGGTTAATATTAACCCAATCAATTGTTAGTTTTACCGTAGCTCGGTGTCAACCGAGTTTTTTCAATCTCAGTTCGGCAAAAACCAGGTAATAGCGAATGAAGTGAGAAGACGGTTCCACCGCGCCATCTTCCATAACATTTTCGCAAACAGCGTCGGACAGGGTATTTAGCAGCACCAAATGTGAACCTATTTGACAGTGTCAGACAGAACACCTACAAATGTGGTGAGATGAATTTTACTAAGAGCCAGCAGTTCGGAAGACCTCTTATGGTTCACTCTGAGCAAGAACTATCTCGCATTAGTATACTTTCTGGTTCTTCATCACTGCTTGCTGAGCATTCGGATGAAATTGCGGTCCTCCCTAGCAAGCTCAAGGGCTGTGCATATTTCGGTGAATTTAATTTCTGGGTTCTTTTTTGTCACAATGTGTAGAGCATTAACATGCTCTGAGCGTATGTAAAAATATATTTATTCATTTATGCACAATGACATCTAAAATTCTAGACATGCTTGCTTTGATATTAAGTAAAAAGCATAATTTTTCTAATTCAATAAAAATTGTAGAATATTTTTAGTTAAGTGCGCCTAATTGTAGGCAGTATTTATTCCACATGGTTTGTATATTTGCGAAATTAAAATGTTGCCTACATTTAGGAATATCTAGAATAATAATAATTTTTATTACGTTTAATTATATATTTTATCATAAATTTATTATGGTTATATTTTAAATTTTTCTTAAACTTTCGAAAGTTCAAATCTGCATATTAACATAAAATTAAATTATAAAAAGTTATAAATATTTTTTATTAAATCAATTTACTACGCTTTGATATGTTATGACATATATGAAGAATGAGCGATTATTAAGCATAAAGTATATCTATTTATATTAGATGACTTGTTTGATAAACAGTGACTTATTTTCCTAACTAAGTGCATTTCTATGCATAACAATAAATCACGCTGCTTGCGATTGAGGTAGTGCAAAACTGTCTCACTGCAAGCTTTATGCCATTGGTTGCCGCATATATTCGCTACGAACTAGTTTCATGGGCACTAGTAGAAGCTTGATGACATTTTTTCAAGTTCGAAGTATTCCAATATAACCACAATTGTTCTGGGTAAAAATCGGAACCTTACCGTAGATTTTCGCTCATTTAATTTCGATTTTGCTTGCGCTTATCAAAGTATGTTATTCTATGTTATACTTCGCGTTTATTGATCACCTGCTGGGAGTTGAGATTTTCTCACTTGCAGATTAACAGCTTTACTTATCCGCATGGAGAAATGTAGTATTGCTCGGGGGATTGTTCCACACAGCTGCTGCACTATACCATCATATATTATTTACACATGCGTGCAAAGCTACAAACGCGCTCTCACAGAGTTCAGCTGCTAAATTACGCGCGACACTTGTCACAAATGAAATTTATTGCTTTTATGCATTATGAGCTCGAAAACACATGCATACTAAGCTATGTACATATTTATGTATGTAACAGTGCACATAAAAAATTAGATGAGTTTCATACATAAATTGGTTTCCGCTTGACATACTATTATCTGCGATAGATTAAGAGTTAGGAGCTTAAAGTATATACGTTTAATGAAATTATGGTTGAACATCTATTTCAAAAGCTAAAATGACCTCAAACTTGTGAACGGATAATTAAGAAAGTTTTCAGTGCATCGCAAACTGTTAAACTCAGGAAGCGATTACTTCAACAATTTATAGAGAAAATCGAATATATAGTACAAGCTTTTTCTCTTTACGAGCGATAAACCTGCTTCTATGACAACCGTTTTCGTATCCGCCATTAGTTTATTCAAAGATTTTTAAGAAATTTGTTTTAGCCTTAAACATAAACCAAAAAAGAAAACCTAAAATTTAAAGCAAGTCGGATACTATAAAAATATTTTCAGTGCAAATTGTAGGTTCACTTTTTGTGGATTGGGACGAGTACACTTAAGTTCCAATCATCGGGAATTCTTTCATCAGACCATATCCTGGAAAGAAGCTGATGCGTGTACCTTGTCAGTTCTTCGTCGTTGTAATTGAATAGCTCGGCCGGTAATCCATCGGACACTGCCACTTCGTTATTCTTTAGGCGGGTAATTGCTAGTCGAACTCCGTCTTAATTGAATAATTGAACATCTATTCCATCGTCATCAATTGTAGAATCGGATTCGAAATTACCAGATTTTTAACTTTCACTCCGTTCAGTAGGCTGGAAAAGAGTTCCTTCCACCACCCTAATACACAAAATACCATAAACATTCACTCGTAATACTCTCGCCGCAAATGAGTGCTTTATTTTTGCTAGCTTGTAACCAGTTCTGTAATTCAATAAAAACCCAGTGACAGATAGAAATTATTGCCAACCTTTCAACGACTGTATGAACGTCTAATATATACCACATATGTATGTATGTACATACACATAGTTATTGTAATCTTACTGAGCGCAAAGGTATAGCAAAATAATTTATTATTAAACACTGGCAGTGTGTCACAGCAAGTATTTTGTCATCATGCAGTCACCTGTAGGCGAAAGTATTTATTTATGTGTACATACTCGTTGTATCTGTTGTAAGTACATAAATCTATATATTTTATGTTGTTGTAGAATTTAATGTCGCATAAACTGACACTTGTGATCATAAGACTACCGTCGGTTACCGTACACTCACACCTGCAGTAACACGGCAGCGCTTAAGAGCCAAGGCAGACGGCCGTGTGATGCGCCTATAGAAAGTCAAGTGCTTGTGTTGCATCAGAGAGCACCTATGTATATACATAAGTGATTGTATACACATTTATGTATGCAAGCATTGTGCATGATTCCATAGATCATGACATGAAGTGTGTGGGCGGTTCTTAAATAATACAAATATTTGTTACGTGGCTCGTACTGGGCAACTTAGCTGTAATCTACCTCATGATGTGAGTCTTTACTGCGTTTAATGCATAAATAAAATTATTGTAGCGTTTGGCAGGTGCGTATGGCGGCTATGTTGTTTGCATGTGTTTAAGTACGTGGCATTCAGAGGTACTCTCCTGTCTTTTATGTGCTTGGATTTGTGTGGCCTGGGCTTGTTGAAACCGCCGTTTGCTTCAACTCATAAGGCCAATATGATAGTTCCGTTATCATGTACCGCCCGTAAAATTTTATTACACTCATATCCTAGTGTTCTGTCAGATCGAAACGACACATAAAAAATTCTTTATATTTTGGTTAATTTAAAGAAAATGAATGGGCTTCCGTGCGGTGTCGAGTGGAATTTCGTATACGATAATTGTATTTAAGATGAAAGTTATAAAAAATATCTGTAAATTATGTTCTATAACTTTTCAAAATTTACTTTATTGAACAAAAATAATATTTTCGCCATAACTGGACGACAAGAAGCTGGCATCGAAATGCGCTTCATAGTTCTGCTTCATCTGGTAGGCACTGACTATGACTTCGCTATTGCGTATAGTTCGAAGAAAAAGAAGTAGAGCTTAGGGCAACGAAATTATCGAGATATGTTCTCATAAAGTTAGAAGTATTTTAACCTTTATAATGCGTATAATTTTGGTGTAAGATCAGTCCTAAATCGATTTTAGCTGGGAGCGTTACGATTATATGGTACTTTTTTGTTTTCTGGAATTAATTAGGCAGTGAGAAATACTGAAATTGATAAGTAAATTGATA